TTTTTTTTTTTTTTTTTTTTGAGATAGAGCCTCAAGCTGTCAGAGTACTGGGACATCACAGCTCACAGGAACTTCAAACTCCTGGGCTTAAGCAATTCTTCTGCCTCAGCCTCCCAAGTAGCTGGGACTACAGTTTGGCAGGCCCAGGTTGGATTTGAACCCGCCTGCTCCAGTGTATGTGGCTGGCACCTTAGCAGCTTGAACTATGGGCGCTGAGCCACCTAGACAATATTTTTCAATTAAGGATATTTAAAAAAACTAAGCCTATACATTATAATTGTTTTACTTCATGTCTTATTAGCTTATTAAAATTTCCCCTAAATCTTCCCACATGAGCTAGGGCAGTATCGGTGCCATAGAACCCCACCTCTGCATAAGTGTTTTCTTTCAAAATAATAGAATAAATTAAAAATGTGATCTGGTTGGTCATAATGATCCTTTTGGAACCATAAGTCACTTGAAAGAAAAAAATGGAGGTTTAACAGCATTCATGTTCATCTTTTATTTGCAGCTGGGTTTATCTGGTTTGCACATTGCACCCATAATACATCAGGTTCTTACCATGTCCAGAAGACTTTGTGACAGTCATAGCAAATGGATCACCTTTATTACCTGAAAGTTGAATTTTAAAAGGAAGATTCCAAATAAGAGAGCAACCTTCAGTTAAGCAAGTGGTGCATCAAGTTACAGATATAGAGTCCTCTTGGATTAAAAATTAGATGAGAATTGGAACATGGAGAAGTAATTCATGATTATAAAAGTCATGACGCTGATCTTTCTTACAGCAAGGTTATTTGCTTTTTTTCAATGAGGTTGATTAAAAAAAAAAAAATTGGCACCCATAGCACAGTGGCTACGATGCCAGCCACATACATCAAGGCTGGTCTGTTCAAACCCAGCCTGTACCAGCTAAAACAACAATGACAACTACAACAAAAAATAGCCTGGTGTTGTGGCAGGCACCTATAGTCCCAGCTGCTTGAAAGGCTGAGGCAAGAGAATTGCATAAGCCCAAGAGTTGGAGGTTGCTGTGAGCTGTGACAGAACGGCACTCTACTGAGGGCAACATAATAAGACTATGTCTCCTGCACCCCAAAAAAGTTGTTTGCCTTTTTTTTTCTTTAAGACTCACTTTATCGCCTTTGGTAGAGTGCTGTGGCATCATAGCTCATAGCAACTTCAGACTCTTGTACTCAAGCACCTCAGCCTCCCAAGTAGCTGGGACTACAGGTGCCCACCCCAATGTCCAGGTATTTTTAAGAGATGGGGTCTCACTCTAGCTCAGGAGCTTAGGCGACCCACCTGCCTCAGCCTGCCAGAGTACTAGGATTATAGGCATGAGTCACTGTGCCCAGCCTCTGTTAGCCCTTTTAATCATGTAGTATCTGCTATTGGGCCACTTCTAGAACTTAGTCCCTTCTGTTTTTCTGAATTAACTTTTGATTGGTATCTCAGCAGTTCTGAGCACTGGATAGAAAAGCCAGCTTTAGTTCCCCAAATAGAGCCATTTGAAGATTCCTAAGTATTTGTAACCACGGAAAACATGTAAATGTGTTGGTTGTTAAGGTTATCTTGTATTTTCGTTTTAGTATTATAGCTTCATATGCCGTATTAAGGTAGGGAAAGAGAGAAAATTTTTTGTAGACCGCAGGGAAATCTAGTATATGAGTTTTAACATCCCAACACTTTCAAATAACAGTGAGTACACATTTTACCTGGCGTGGTAACCTGCCATGGAACTAATAATAAGCTCCATAGAGGTGAGGATTGCTGTGATGATACATAGAGCCCTATGCCTAAGGTTCTTTCATGCCTAGGCTTGGCATGAAAAAACGTAGGTTTTAGTTCTAGCTCAGCCAACTGATATCTCTAACTTCTGATATCTGATGTCTTACTTTACCTTGCTAAGACTTTTATCCTGGGTGACGCCTGTAGCTCGGTGGGTAGGGCACTGGCCAAACTGCAACAACAAAAAATAGTGGGGCTTTGTGGCAGGTTCCCGTAGTCCCAGCTACTTGGGAGGCTGAGACAAGAGAATCACCTAAGCCCAGGAGTTGGAGGTTTCTGTGAGCTGCGACGTCATAACACTCTACTACCGAGGGTGATAAAGTGAGACTCTGTCTCTAAAAAAAACAAAAAGGACTTGTTTCCTTCTCTGTAAATTGAATTATGATTCCTTCCTCATATGTTATTTTGCAGGTATCAAACAATTCCTCAAAAGTGCCATGCAAGGCTTGGCACCTGTGGCTCAAGCGGCTAAGGCGCCAGCCACATACACCTGAGCCAGCGAGTTTGAATCCAGCCCGGGCCCGCCAAACAATGACAGCTGCAACCAAAAAATAGCCGGTCATTGTGGTGGGTGCCTGTAGTCCCAGCTACTTGGGAGGAGGCTGAGGCAGGAGAATTGCTTGAGCCCAGGAGTTGGAGGTTGCTCTGAGCTGTGATGGCACAACACTCTACCCAGGGCGACAGCTTGAGGCTCTGTCTTTAAAAAAAAAAAAAAGTGCCATGCAAAATATAAGACAGTTTTACTCTTTCACCTTGGGTAGAGTGCCTGGCCTCAGCCTAGCTCACAGTAACCTCAAACTCTTGGGTTCAAGTGATCCTCCTGCCTCAGTCTCCTCAGTCTCGAGTAGTTGGGGCTATAGACACCCACCACAGCAGCTGGCTATTTTTCTGTTTTTTTTCTGTTTTAGTAGAGATGGGGTTTTGCTCTGGCTCTGACTGGCATCTAACTCCTGAGCTTTTTTTTTTTTTTTTTTGGAGACACAGCCTCAAGCTGTCTCCCTGGGTAGAGAGCCGTGGCATTACAGCTCACAGCAACTTCCAACTCCTGGGCTCAAGCGAGTCTCCTGCCTCCGCCTCCCAAGTAGCTAGGACCACAGGCGCCCCCGACAACGCCCGGCTATTTTTTGGTTGCAGCCGTCATTGTTGTTTGGCGGGTCCAGGCTGGGGCTTCGAACCCGCCACCTTAGGTGTAAGTGGCTGGCGCCTTAGCCGGTTGAGCTATAGGCGCCGAGCCCTAACTCCTGAGCTTTAACAATCCACCTGCCTTGACCTCCCAGAGTGTGTGAGCCACCACTTCTGGCGAGAAATTTTGTCTTACTTATTTTTGTATCCAAGGAGGAATGAATGTAGATACTGAACAGAAAGTAGTTTCTGCTTGAGACCAAGCATTTGAGGTAGCACTGAGCCATATGATGCCACTGGATTCCAGCCAGGGCAACAGACCTGTCTCAGAAAAACCCAAGCTTAGTGTCTCATACAAAAGTCTTATCCAACACCCATTAAACCCCTCTCCCCCAGGAGCTGTTGAACATCCTTCTAGACTACTTTCCATACATAAACATGTGTTTACACATGATAGATTTCGGAAACTTACAAGTTTGTCACTTACTGTTGAATTTTATCGTTATGTTGTATTTCTTGTTCATGTATATTGTATTCCTTTGATGTAAAAGTGTCATAGGCCAGGCCCAGTGTCATGTCTGTAATTCAGCACTCTTGTAGGCCAGGGTGGGTGGATTGCTTGAGCTCAGTTCAAGACCAGCCTTAGCAAGAGCATGACACTGTCTCTTCTGGGAAAAAAAAAAAATAGAAAAACTAGCTGGGTGTCATGACAGGCGCCTGTAGTCCCAGCTACTCAGGAGGTTGAGGCAAGAGAATTGCCTAAGCCCAAGAGCTGGAGGTTGCTGTGAGCTGTGAAGCCACAGCACTGTACTCAGAGCAACAGAGGGAGTCTCAAAAACGAAGTGCCATTCTTTAATCTTTCAATGGGTCTTCATGATGCTTTCTTTGTAAATATACAGTAAAAGGTCCATAGTTGACTGCCTTCCTATATTGACCAACTCCTGAAGTCAACCTAATTTTAATAGGCTAGACATGTACCTATGGATACAGTATGCCTAGTTCCTTATGTTGACCACCTCCACATGTTCACCAGTTCATTATAGTCCCTGGGGTGGTCAAATTACAGAGGTACTATTATAATTTTTAACAGTACGGCACTCTGAGGCAATGTAATAATCTTTCCTTTGCCTTCTTAAAACAGCAAAAAAGAAGAATAAGAAGGGGAAGACTATCTCCCTGACAGACTTTCTGGCTGAGGATGGGGGAACTGGTGGAGGAAGCACATATGTCCCCAAACCAGTCAGCTGGGCTGATGAAACAGATGACCTGGAAGGAGATGGTAATTTTTCCTTTTGTTGTCATATTTGGAATTTTCATTATCTTCTAGACAAAAGCTATTCCATAATAGTTCTCATCATTTGTAATTTCAAAAGAATGTGCTCATTTTGTAACACCTGGAATCTTGTGTATTTTATGCAATCTTAGGGTTAATCTGAGGTTTAGGCTAATTGAATTTATGGTACAGACTGAAGTCATCAAGTTAACTATCCTTTTAGGCACCATTTCCTCCATTTTCAAAGTATAGACGAGATATCTTTTGAATTCCTTTAGGTCTAAAATTCTCTGGTATCCTCAAAGTGCAACTGTAGTATAATCAGTCTATAAATTCTATTTACTGAACATACTAGGAGTAATTAATTGTAGTTATTAGTATCAAGTCAGAGTGTCCCTGGTGAAATGAAAAAGTTATGAGGGGCTGGGAATGGTAGCTCATGTTTATAATCAACGGCACTTTCTTCTCCTTTTTTTTTTTTTTTTTTTTTTTTTTTTGAGACAGAGTCTTATTATGTCACACTTGGTAGACTGCTATGGTGTCACAGCTCACAGTAACCTCAAACTCTTGGGCTCCTGCAATTATCTTCTTGCAGCCTCCCAAGTAGATGGACAGGCTCCTGCCACAATGCCGCCTATTTTTTTTGTTGTTGTTGTCATTGTTGTTTGACAGGCCCAGGCCAGGTTTGAACCCACCAGCCCCAGTGTACGTGGCTGGTGCCCTAGCTGCTGAGCTACAGGTGGTGAGACTATAATCACAGCACTTTCTATAACCAAATGAGGAATATTGCTTAATGCCAGGAGTTTGAGACCAGCCTAGACAACATATTTTTGTCTCCACAAAAAATAAAAATTCATACTACATGGTGGTTCATACCTATAGCCATAGCTACTTGGGAGGCTAAGGTGGGAGTCTCCCTTGAGCCTAGCAGTTATTGAGTATGATAGAAATCTAATCCAGTTTTTTTGAAAACTATTAAAGTCTGAAATAATACATTGTTTTTGTGACCTGTTTTTGTAATTATTGACAATAGGTAATTTTATATAAGTTGTAGTTTATTTTTTGAGATCTCACTATGTCACCATTGGTAAACCTGTGGTGTCACATCTCACAGCAACCTCCAACTCTTAGGCTAAAGTGATTCTCTTGCCTCAGCCTGCCAAGTAGCTGGGACTACAGGTACCTGTCACAATGCCCAACTGATTTTTGATTACAGGTGTCATTGTTCAGCAGGCTGGAGCTGTACTCGAATCTGCCACCTTCTATGTATGTGGCTGGTGCCCTATTCACTGAGCTACAGACACTAAGCCAAGTTGTACTTTCTGTAAATGTTGGTATCTGAAGTACATATTCATGGACATAGCTGTCAGGAAAGTTATTTTCTTCTCTTCTCTTTTCCTTTTTTTTTTTTTTTTTTGAGACAGTCTTACTTTGTCACCCTTGAGAGAGTGCTGCAGTGTCATACCTCACAGCAACCTTAAACTCCTGGGCTTAAACAGTCCTCTTGCCACAGCCTCCCAAAAATAGCTGGGACTATAGGCGCCTGCCACAATGCCTGGCTGTTTTTAGAGATGAGGTCTTGGCTCTGGCTCAGGCTGGTTTCGAACCTGTGAGCTCAGGCAATCCTTGGACTTGGCCTCCCAGAGTGCTGGGATTCCAGGCATGAGCCACAGCACCTGGCCCAGTAGGGAAAGATTTTTGTGTGACTTTTGTGTAAGAGACAATAAGCAATGAAGAAAACAACTCTCCAACCCAACAGTTGGAGTACAAGGATTGCTAGTAGGGGTTAAACATGTGGAGTGAGAAAGACCCAGGTTTGCATCCTTGTTCTCCTGCTTTATTTACCATCTGTACCTTAGGCTAATTACAGTCTGAAATTGAGTTTCCTTTTCTGTACAATGGGAAAAACCCTCACAGGATTGTTGCAGAGTTAAGATGGGATATAATGATTACAAAATACCTGATATTTCAGAAGTATTTTCTCTTTGTAAAGCACACTTATTTTTTTTGTTTGTAAACCATACTACATTTGAGGTTGTAGAATGTAAAGCAGACTTGGTGTGTTGCTTTACTGATATATTGTATTTAATACTTAACAGTTAACATGGGTTTTCCATGACCTTTTGAACTCTCCTACTTGAGACAGGGTACTAACTGGAACAATTGATTTGGAACTCTTAATGTGGGCCCGAGCACCATCTAAGGTTGGTCCTGGTTGTGTTGTTGTGAGGTTTGATTTTTCCTTTTCCAGTTGTTGCCCATGGGGGCGGGGTGTCACAGTTGCTTGTATTTCTCCACAGATGAGATTTCAACCCAGAGTTACTGATTCACTAGGCTGGACAGAGACCAGCTGAAAACAAGACAGAGCCACTTAGCCCCACCACACCAAGCAGGTCACCATTGTCTTGGGCCGTAGTACTGTACGGGTCCTTTGCAAAGAAATAAGGGGAAAACCTACAGTCACCAGTCCCAGCTCTTGGGCAAAAGGGCTGATTAATCACTACTCCAGGAGCCCCCAATCCAATTTCACCTTATCTGCTCATTTAGCCAAACAGTGAAAAACCATGTTGGTATGGAATCAGCGGAAAAACTCCAGCAACATGAATAATCAAAGTAGATCAACTACCCCAAGGAACCACAAGGCAGACACATCAGAAGATCCTATTCATAAACAAATGGCTGAGATGTCAGAAATCGAATTCAAAATTTGTGTTGCAAATAAGATTAACAGAATGGAAGTAAAGTTGGAATTAGAAATTCAAAGAGCATTTGGAAAGTTGTATCAAGAATTGAATGAATTCAAAGACAGAATTACCAAAGATTTTGACACATTGAGGCAAGAACTTGCAGCCCTCGAAGATCTGAGAAATACAGTACTATCCTACAATAACGAAATGGAGCAGGCAGAAGAAAGGATTTCAGATATTGAAGACAAAGCTTTTGAACGCTCCGAAATGCAAACAAAACAGATCATTCTCTTAGCTCTGGGATAATTCAAAGAAAACTAATATTCACCTCATAGGAGTTCCTAAAGGTGATAAGGTGGCTTCGTAAGGCACAGAGGCTCTTCATGAGATTATGAAAGAGAACTTTTCTAGACATACCAAGAGATTCTGAAATTCAGATAGCAGTTTTAGAACCCCAGCATGACTCAACCCGAATAAGACATCTATCTCCTAAGCACATCATAATTAACTTCACTAAAGTTAATATGAAGGAGAAAATTCTGAAAGCAGCCAGACATGAGAAAACCATAACCTACAAGGGGAAGAATATTAGAATGGCTGCAGATCTCTCTGATGAAACTTTTCAAGCTAGATGAGGATGTTCATTGACTTTTAATTTCCTTTTTTCTTTTCTTTTTTTTTTTTTTGAGACAAAGCCTCAAGCTGTCACCCTGGACAGACTGCTGTGGCATCACAGCTCACAGCAACCTCCAACTCCTAGGCTCAAGCGAGTCTCCTGCCTTTGCCTCCCAAGTAGCTGTGACTATAGGCACCCACCACAACGCCCAGCTATTTTTGTTGTTGTTGTTGTTGTAGCCTTCATTGTGGTTTGGAGGGTCCGGGCTGGATTCGAACCTACCACCTTAGCCACTTGAGCCACAAGTGCCAAGCTGACTTTTAATTTCCTAAAACAAAATAATTTTCAACCCAGGATCCTGTATCCAGCTAAACTGACTTTCATTTATGATGGAGAAATTAAATTTTTT